GATCACACTGCATAGGTTGCGCTGGCTTGGCCACGTGTTGCGTGTACGAGTCGACCGACTTCCTCGAAGGACTCTTTTCGCACAACCACGTGAAGGGTGGAAGAGAGCCAGAGGTGGTCAAACAATGACTTGGTAGAGAAGTATAAAAGCCATTACCAGCAAACTCAGCTGCTTCCGTCTTCCTGGATGGGGACCCGAGACGGGCCATATCAATGACAGGAGACATTGTCAAATACGGCCCAGTCGCGCCCTCAGTGGCGCTCGTGCATCCAAGCTATTGCCTTCAATGCATAGCTCCTTCTCCCACCCCAACTCCATTTGACAGCCCACTGACAGTGCTGGATTTGTGCACCAATTTATCAGCTCCCGCCTGCAATGCGCAGCTACCTACCTCTCCCCCCAAACCATCAGTGATCGAAACTGCGGCAGTTACAACCACTGTACGACGAGTACGTCGTTTTTACGGCTGACAATGATGATGATTGCTCAGAACAAGAGATTCACTTTCAAAAGACCTATAGTAACCCTGAAGGTAACTTAGTCAGTGGGGCCTGGAAGGGGAAACGGGAAACTAGAACACCCATCCTGTTGCGACAAACGTTGTTGATCAAAGTACCGCGTTTTCATCAACTTATACATTACACCCTCTTACAATGTGCTTTTCTCAAAGTGGTCTGTGTTTTTGTCAGAATTACTCTGTGTTCCCTCTCACATCAGAATGACAGTTTGTGAGCCCATGAAACGGACATTCCAGAGATGGTTACACTTATTTCTAGTGACTGGTAATCTTGAAGGGTATCAGATTTCACGGAAAACACTACTGAATAGAGGCGAGTAATGGCGGTCTAATGCGTCATCTGGGAACTAGCACTTACACACAGAAAGGATCAGTCACCTTCTAAAGTGCATTACAACCAGAGGAACTTGTGGCGTTTTATTATTACAACACTTCAGTTCGACCGGAAGCATTGAGGATCTCTATTTTCTGAGTTTTTGAGCTCATTTGTACGACACATAAGCGACGTAAGCTGTTGATCACGGTGAGGAGGCTCACTGCTTATGCCGCAGTGTCGACAACTACTCACGAGATTAATGATCGATGAGTCTTCGTTATTTCTGAAAGTAGCGAAACTCCACACGAGTAGGCTAACAGACTGTCCAATTCAACATCTGCTTTTTGTTCAAAGGGGTTTAAGTTCATCAGTCTGGCAGTTCATGCTCCCATACGTCACTGTGATAAACTTCATTGCACTTATGCGGTTTTGTAAGAAAATCAGTCCTGGAAACTGCATCGTTTCAACGAGAAAAACACGGAAAAATTTGTCGTTTTACATAAAACCCATGTTTATGACTGCCGGTAATTTGGATTTTTACCCTGGGTGGCCTCTTTTGCCGCCTAATTCATGAAGGTCATTAAAGCAATCTTGTATAGTTCGCTTCATTCATGTGACTCTGGTGTTGGCGTAGGGACAAGAACAATGTTAGTACAAGTGGCATCTTAGCAACTCACCCTCCTTATTTGAAATGGCAGCATGAATTCAACGATTCTATACAAGATTCAGCACTTGGCATTGGTTTTGTAGAGGGGTAATTCATGCATAGAAAAGGTCCCGATGGGGATCCTCTCTGTAGCTGGAACGAATTACCAATGGGGGTAATGTCTGTTTATGCAAAACGTTAGTTTTATCTAACGGGCTCTTTTTTATAGTTATTTTTAGGGCATTTCAGCTTGGTTTCAATGAGTCATTAAACAAACTGCAAATGTGTAAATACGGATACATTGTTATCAGCGTGGTTATCTCTAAAATTTGTTCCCAGACCCGTACTTTACTTATAGCTTTGTTTTTCTTAGATAGGCTGACTTATTGATTTCTGCATCTAGCGGGCTCCCTCACCAGTGATCAAATCCTTTCTGTAACAATAATTTGACCCCGCACTTTGGTGGGCTTCAATTTTTTCTGTAGAAAACAGTTTGTAGGTATAGCGACTCAGTGGCTCTTTCATCTGTTTACGTTGCTCCTTTCGCAGTAGAACCGCCCATGTATGACTTCGTTAAAACCTCCAATCTTCGCTTTCGACTCTTTGGAGTATGGCTGGTTACCGAACCCTAAACTTCGCCTATTTTTATCCTCATTTATCGCCCCACTTCCTAACAACTATGCCTACAAGAAACTCAGTGTCCTTTCCGCGTTTGTATATTATCATGTATCGCCATAAAAGACGTATCCGACTTTGATGAACTAAAAGAACACCAGTTATCCACAGCATGTTGGGCAATTGAACAATGGGGTAACCCAAGTACTATCCGGTTGGATGACTCAGCCGTACAAACTTCAAATGCTCACCAGGGCACTCCATCGAGTGTTGGCTAGCTGTGAAGTCACAAGACGATAAATTTCAATGCCTTAGTCTCGGATGGGGATGTCTAGACTAAGTCAGACTCCATATAATCAGCTGAGTTGCAGGTATTCAACATTAAAACAGGGTCATCCAAATCCAAGATCATTGCTAGATAGACCTGTGAATAAAAAAAGATGAGGAGACTGAGTGATTTTTATTCCATAGGATTTTACTACAAACGGGAGGTATGATTGTTTCCAACAGCTGGGACTTACGTGCCAGCCACGAAGGTTTACACAAACGGAACTCATAATGATCACTAAGAATTCAGTACAATCTTCATATTTGCTGTGTGCTTGCATGCTTCGTAATCGATCCACTCTGCTGAAGCACTTTGATTATCGATTTTGTTTTCTGGTCACAAAATAGTATCTGTTCAGCATGCAAACATAACTATATTATCTGTTGGCGAATCAATGATCACATTATCTTTCTCCTAGCTCTTCAAGGTTCTCACCCAATGTGATGACTAGAACTTTCGGAATTTCTGCTCACCTTGAGTCACGCGGTGCGGTGAATAGCGCAAATGAACTACTCAGATGCCACCCCACCAACTGGCTCCCTTCAGTTACTTTACACAAGTAAACAACAAGACAAGCATGAATTTTATGCATATTTTCTATTTTGAACTCATCAGTTCAGTAATCCGAGTGAGTAGCTTGAAAATTTTTGGATGATTTTCACTGTTTTTGAACCTGGGAAAATCGCTTCTTTGCTTGTGGGAAACGTTTCTGGCCACGGCGGTTTTGACAACTAGCGACCAAAAGACATATCCACAAAGTATTACAAATGACGCCCCATCGTTACCAAACTTCATGCAGTGTGGATTTCGTCATCTTCTGTTTGCAGTCCATAAACTTCTTTATTTGAACACTAATCGAAAAATTAATTAAATCTTTTCGTTCTTCGTTTATTGAGGTAGAATGAGTGTGAAATGAATCTGGCAATCATGGGACTTGGGAGGCTTTAGCGCTATGATGGTGTTCAAACAATTTTACAGGCGGACTAACGTCATACGGTTCACTCAATAATACGTCACCAACAGGTCGGTAATCTGTCGCGTCGAATGTCATCTTCACCGTTTTGATAAGGTTGATTAGCAAATCACACAAATACCACATGATCCTGGCATGAGAAAACCCCTGCTCGACATTATCGAAATGTGTGGATTTTGAGAAGTGCACCTACTTCGTGTATGGACTATCTGACGAAAATCTTGGCTCAGCTCTCCCAAACTGACAGCAAGCAAGATTGCAAACGCTGCTTACATCACTGTGAGGACGCGCGAACATCGTGGATACTTTGTTGACAGATCTAGTCATCAGAATATTCGAAAGACATCTGAGGTGAACTACTCATTGTACAAAGCGACCATGGCCTGAAAGATGGTCATCTTAGTTACTAGACCAGAGGCTTATTTTGTTTACATAGTCGACACATAGTCTTCACATATCTGCCTTTGAGCTTGACCGACGGATGAGAATTCCCGTATTCCGCAATCTGTTTTAGCCCGGGCGAAAGAATTGTGTACCCCTAGGTTCGAGTCGCCAAAAGTGATTTGACATGCATAGTCCAAACTGTCTTCGCGTGTCTCATGGTGAACTGCAGCTTAGCCATACTTATCTGATTTGCTCCGTATGTTTGTACGGTGCAGAAGCCATAGCTTGTAGTTTGCGGAGATGTGGGTTTTTTTCTAATGGAGCTTTCGTCCTGTAAACAAAGCCAGTCCATGTTAAGAAGCCGATAAGCACCGTGATCCTCAGTTTCTGGACAAGTTCTGTCCTAACCAATGAACTATTGATGACATCCTATCAATTAGCCACATGTTCCAGCTAATACCACCTGCTGTCCCCAGGTAACGAATTTACTAAGAAAAGGGCACACAAACAGGACCGATGGTACGGCGCCGTCATGATTAAATGTGCGAGATGAATTTAAGTTAAAAAAAAGTGGCCAGAAGCCATCCGACAAGTATTTAAACGGTCCCAAAACAAACTGTTTCTTAGGCAAACCAGCGAGGGTACTTACCCTAAAAATGTAACTCCCAAGGTAAAAAAGTTAACTTTCACACATGTGTTTCTGAAAATATGTACCAAATACTTTTCGTTTACAATTTGTTGTTCGCAGCCTTCGGACCGGCTGTGCTGTCATGGTTTCAGTAGTTATCCTTTTTTACACTGTGAACTCGATATTTTCGTATAATCAACTATTTTCACGGTCCGTGAATATTCCTCCACTTTGGTCTCCTCGAAATCTTTACGTAATGCGTAGAAAAAAGTAGAATTACTGACTTTTGGCCATGGTATGAAAAGTCACTTCAAGCAACCCATCCTCAAGCAACGAGGACTTGGAAGAAAAGACTAGGATACATTCCAATGAAAGTCATTGTTGTACCGGGTGTTCCCCATGTGATTCTCGAACCTTTCTTGTAACATTTGTTCAGCAACCGAGAAGATATGCGCCCCTTCAAAATTTTGGGTGTTTAGAGTTGAAAAAATTGACAAAACCTGACAATTCTTTGGAAGTAATATTCGGTCTCACGCATTCTGTAGTCGAACGGGAGGTGTTGTAACTTGCGTCAAGCGATCTTAGTACGACTCATCGTTCAGCTTTAGCACCCTTTCGGTACCTATCTGCCATACCACCCAACGGTTGCACGAGAGCTGGGATACTGTCAGGTTGCTCAAGCCTAGACAGGGAAAGTCGAAAGTCAGAGTTCGGGTTCGAACCACAGACCTTCCGGTCAGTAAATTCGCGCTGTAACAACTTGTGCCATCTTGCTCCAAGGAAAGCTTTACAGATCACCGACAATCAAAAAGCTGAGTGTTCAGTAAAGACATCAGTTCTTGTTGAACCTACACTTTTTTGTGTTCTACCAATACGTAGCTCTCAAGTAAACCTTCAAATGTGTCTGCCAGACCACTCAGTGACTCTGGATCTGGTAGATTTATTTTGCAGATATTCACGCTTCTCAAGCTTAAAAATTGTCGCCTGCGTAAACTGATAATCCAGGCGCGTCTATCGTGGAGTAGTGGCAATGCGCTTGCCTCGCATATCAGATGTCTGGAGT